ACCAGCCATCCTCACCCTGCCGGCCTGCATGTTGCTTCTTCACGCCTCTTTTAAAGGATCCCAGGTTGTAAGAGGGACCCGAACACGTGAGCGGGCAGAGCATTCCATTTGCGGATAGTGCGACAAAGAAATGAGTCACCAAATTTCATTGTACGCGTTGGAATTGTGGCAACAGTAAGACGGTGACAACGTAGGCCAGCGCGCGTGGTCCTCTGAAGGAAAGGCGAAGGTCCTCAGAACACTCGCCGTGGTACAGATGATGGAACGCGCTTAGTGACGCCACGTCACGGCGTAATTGAAGAGGCTCAAGGTGTTTAGTCACCTCCTCATCGCCTGTGATGCGGATTGCGCGCCGCTGTAACCTATCCAAAGCATCGAACAAGTACTTGGCGGAGCCATCCCAGAGGTGCGAGCAATATTCCACGCAGGACCGCACTTGCGTTTTGTACAACAAGCACAGTTGATCGGGCGTGAAAAAACGCCGCACCTTGTTCAGGACGCCGAGTTTGCGTGAAGCTGTTTTGATCACGGTTTCGATGTAGTCCTTTGGATTTAGGTCTGAGCGAACTTCCATACCGAGCATGGAAATGTTGCTCTGTAGCGGTAGTGTTGTGCCCTGAAGAGAGGGAAGGGGAAGGAATGGCGATGTTTTTGGGTGATTCCTGGGACCCATGATTTTAAGGGTCACATTGAAATATTAACTAAAGTAATAGACCAACTTGAATAAAGTACCACTCCAAACTTTACTTAACTATTGTAGTATTGAGGCCCATTGATAAAAAATAATATTTAATTAAAGAAATTGGTTAAAATATCCATTTGAAACTGAAAAACGCGGTTATTTCACTAGATTTTTACGTATCACACGCGCTACTGTTGCTATGTTATAGTGAATATTTTTTTCGCTCAAGGTTATATTGAATATATACTTTTTTAAATACATAAAGAGTTATTCTATTAGATCATGAAGAAACTGTTCTAAAGTCTGGTATACCTTTATTCGTTCAAATACATGTCACGCGGCGGGCATATTTGCAATTTCGCGGCGAAACTATCACAATTTATTTAGTGGAATACGCGGTTAAAGCACGGTCATATTATCTATACAGTATTGTGACTCCGCCCTGTCCTTGAAAATAAATGCCTACGGCCGAGCGCTGCGTTATGTACCTACAGTATTTTATGTAGTTTTGTTTTTAACGCGAGTGTAAGTAGATTACTCGTTTGTCTCTTTTTTCATCCTAACCACTTATTTATATATTATTCCAGATATTTTGCCCGATGGAAAAACCGAAATACCTAAATATTAGAAACAAATTACGTACTAGTAGATAGGTATATAAAAAATATTCTATAAAGGTAAGACACCTTTCCAATATTTCAGGTAATTTAAAAAATGATATCTCTGAGTGTGTTATTGAAGAGTTCAACCAAGCAAAAACAGCAATTGTGCTGTTGTACGGTATTGATCGTCGTTTGTTCTTTTCCATACTAAATTATGTAGGTATCTACTTAATTAAATCAAATATTTACAATACAAAACGCACGTTTAAGCACGGCTAACTGCATAAAAAACAATTCAGACCGTTCGGTCGTCGTCGCGGTGCGGCGGCGCATTCGCGACTGGCTGGGTGCCCGCCGAGCGAGAGCACATCGAACTCGAGTGGCGTAGGTATGACTCGCTTTCCGACCGTTTGTATGAAGATAGAATACTGTATGATATTATTACCGTGGTATGTCATGCGATTGGTCCAAAAGATCGCTTGTTGACCGGCAGTGTTCGGACGGGAAGTTAGTATCCGTAGATGTAAGTTCTTTGACTTCTTCAAATGTTTGTCCAACGGGGTAGGTATAACTCGTGGCTCGTTTTGCTGTTAAATTGAGAATAGTTTCACTTAACTGGTCTTTGATTAATAATACGTATATCCCTGTGTAGGCACTGGAGTACAAATAAATACGATTATATTTATAGTTTTACAGTAATACCTTCATATTTAAATTATCGTCAGATTCGTGGTCGTAAGATCCGTGGCTTTAAGCTATGGATCTGATTTATCGACCATGGATCTGACAACATAAAATTATAACTTCACTGCCTCCGTGGTGTAACGGTTAGAGCGTTGGACTCCCAACCTGAAGGTCGTGGGTTCGAATCCCGCGCGGACCAACATAATATCTCCTGCGCAGCTGGTTAATCTCGTTGAGATTAGCCGCTGTGGTAAAAATCGACCAGGAGGCCTAATTTTTACAGCTTCAATAATTTTCTTTCAGTTTTAATTGCCGTGGGTACCTACCCAGTAAAGACTGATGTTTAAACGTAAGAATTTAAACAAAAACAAAAACAGTTTATTTATTGATTTTTTAATATTTTATATGCAATGGATGTAAAAAAATACAAAAAAATAAAACTTCTGATTACTTCTGCTCTAACGATGTTTTATTTATAATTTTCTTTATTGCAGCATTCTAACAGGCGATTCTAACGCGACGCCATTACTTGATTCATATACTTCGTCAGATCCGCGATGCCCTTGGTCAGATCCGTGACGAGCCAAAAAATTTTTTTTTTTTAAGAATCTATAAGATCTACGTGTGTGCCTCATCTACAGAATGACTTGTTTTTCAGCCCTTTTTAGCCATATAATTTTAGTTTTTTCTAATAATGAAATAAAATAAAAGCCACGGATTTGATGCGAAGAACGTTGGTCCCAGGAATCACCCTTCTGCCGTGAAAGCGCAATCCTGAGATTTCTTAGCATTGAACTCAACCAAGTTCCTGGTACCCCATTCGGAAATGTGGTCCAAAGCCTGATTGAGTTCAATGACAATATTCCCAAGAGGAATCAAGTCATTGATATGCAGCAGGAAGAGAGTGGGGGATAGGACGGAGCCCTGGGGAACGCCGACATTCACTGACATGAACCGCGAACTGCTACCATCCGTAAGGACACGAATTCTACGCTCATGCAGGAAGTCAGCTACCCAGGAACAGAACTGGGCTGGCAGACCGTATTCCGGAAGCTTGGAGAGAAGGCTTTTGTGCCAGACCCTGTCGAACGCCTTGGCAATGTCAAGGCTGATAGCCAACGACTTGCCACGCTTGTCGATAGCCTCACCCCAGATATGAGTTAAGTACGCTAGAAGATCACCCGTCGATCGTTTTGGTCTAAAACCATATTGATGATCATTAATCAGGGAGTGATCCTCTAGGTAGCGGGTCAGATGGTTATTAAGGACCTTTTCTAGAACTTTACATAAAACTGAGGTGACTGCTATTGGCCGGTAGTTTGCCGGGTCTGAGCGATCCCCTTTTTTGGGCACCGGTTGCACATTAGCATCTCTCCAAGTCTCCGGCACACGCCCCAAAGAATACGAGCATTGGTACAAGCGCGTGAGCACGGGAGACAACTCCGCTGCACATTTTTTCAGTACTACAGCTGGGATTTCATCAGGTCCACTAGCTTTCCGGACATCGAATGATTGCAATTCGGCACGAACCTCACGCTGCCTGATTTTAATATCAGGCATCGTTGTGCCACAGTGAGGTAATGATGGTAGCAATGTATTGCAATCATCGATTCGGGAGTTAGCCGCAAAGAGTTTTGCCAGTAAATCGGCTTTCTCCTGCGGCTTATGAGCTAATGTTCCGTCTGGGCATCTCAGAGGTGGCAGCGAGGGCTAGCAGAAGTTTTTTTGCACGGCCTTGGCCAAACGCCAGTAGCTGCGTATAACTTCCTGGCCAACAATTGCAACGCGCTGGGCATCCGCTCTGATGTAAGCCTTCTTACAGGCCTTGGAAGCAAAATTGTAGGCTGCTTTGAGTGAATCGACCTCGGGATCCTTGAGAGCGCGGCCTCTGATCCAAGCACGATATGCCACTTGCTTACGCGAAGCAGCTTCAGCAAAGTCGTGATTGAACCAGAGGTTACGTGTGCCCTTACTGATGAGATCAGAATGAGGATTTATTAATTATAGATGTTTTAGTTTCCCGAGAATCGCGATTTTAAACCGTTTCCCCTTAGATTAAACAAAGAGGGAAGATACGGTACGCTCATACTAGCATCAAATAAAATATAATCCGCAAACTATTCGAATTCGATAATGGTTCGTGCTAGGAGTACAGTACCCCTAGCACGAACCAATATCGAATACGAATCCTTTGCGAGTCCGAAATGTCATTGTCAAATGTGTACTGATTTTTGGTTCTCGTTACGTACTTTGTGCCGTTTCCATACAAAATGTGAAATTGACATTTCGGTTTGCAAACTATTCGAATTCGATAATGGTTCGTGCTAGGGGTACTGCACGCTTTAACGCAGCGCGAGCTTTCCAGTTCGTACAGCTGAGCTGTATGGTTGTCCTTTTCTTGATAACAAATTGGCGATTACGAAAATAACATTCACGACAAACCGCGATTTTTGAGAAACAATTTTTTTTACAGTTGTTTGAATGAAAAGTGTTGCCGAGGCATTTGTTATTTGATTTCGAACTATTTATGTTCTCTTTAAAAGCATCGAAGGAATTGTTTTATCTTTGTAACACAGAAAATACTCAATATTGTTATATTGAGTGCATATGCAGCGTGTTTGAATGTCCAATTGTGAGCAAAGCGAATTGTGGTCATCCACCACTATTTAAACGTATCACTTTCGAGCCGCGAGTATCATATCTCCCCTTTTTTGTTTTAGGTAATCTAAGCGTTTCCCCCCTTGGAAGGTAAACCCCCCGCCGACAAATCGCGTAATTTATTTTTCCTCTTAATTTTAATGTGTTCTCTTCCTTGTGGTTTGGGTTTTGTCTTGTTCCGAAATGTCCGACAAAATATTATAGTTTACTTAAGCTCTCTTCTATAATTGTAATTTCATTTGTTGCACCTGTAAGTAAATAGGTTATAGCACCTGTAAATGAATAGGTTGGACAGGACAGGAACCGGGGCGCATATTAATAAGTAGTTAGCCTAGAGCGGTCAGAATTCTAAATTCCTAAGGTCCTGAACTTACTTCGTACTTAGCCTCGTCGCAAGCGCAGCAGGGCTCAATAATAGGCGGCTGCCGTGCGAAGGAGGCGGGGGCGACAGGCGCAGCGCAAATCTTGCGCGCAAGCACTGTACCATTGCCCCCACCCACGGGAGCGGCGCGAGCGCACAATCGCAGGCAAGCCTCGGACGTGCGGAGGGGCGCGCTCCAGATTATCTGTCGATTCAATTAACAATCGTTTCAGATAAATCAATAAAAAATATTTGTATTTAAAAACAAAATTAATCGCTGTATCATAAGTAGGTATTCATATAATCGTGTTGAGGTGTATAGGATACAATAGTTGGAGTACCATAACCACGGTAATAATATCATACAGTATTCTATCTTCATACAAACGGTCGGAAAGCGAGTCATACCTACGCCACTCGAGTTCGATGTGCTCTCGGCGGGCACACAGACCCCAGTCGCGAATGCGCCGCGCACCGCTACGACGACCGAACGGTCTGAATTGTTTTTTATGCAGTTAGCCGTGCTTAAACGTGCGTTTTGTATTGTAAATATTTGATTTAATTAAGTAGATACCTACATAATTTAGTATGGAAAAGAACAAACGACGATCAATATCGTGCAACAGCACAATTGCTGTTTTTGGTTGCTTGAACTCTTCAATAACACACCCAGAGATATCATTTTTTAAATTACCTGAAATATTGGAAAGGTGTCTTACCTTTATAGAATATTTTTTATATACCTATCTACTAGTACGTAATTTGTTTCTATTATTTAGGTATTTCGGTTTTTCCATCGGGCAAAATATCTGGAATAATATATAAATAAGTGGTTAGGATGAAAAAAAGAGACAAACGAGTAATCTACCTACACTCGCGTTTAAAACAAAACTACATAAAATACTGTAGGCAGGCGGCCCTACCGCGTGCTAGCGCAGCGCTCGGTCGTAGGCATTTATTTTCAAGGACAGGGCGGAGTCACAATACTGTATAGATAATATTACCGTGCCATAACGGTGTTATGTTATAAGGTTCAATAATGTGCGGGTGACTGCCGGGCGAGACAAATCTTGCACGCGAGTAGGAGTACCGAGCAATCCACAATCGCACGCACGCCTCGGACATGCGGAGCGTCGCGCTCACCTGACATTTTTATATGATACAAATTTAAAGCTCGGACAGTTTGATAATAGACCAGGGTCGATAATTTTTGAGACCAAAAAAAATTATAGTAGGATGAAACCCATTAGAAAAGGTAGAGAATATAACAAAAATGAAAGGAAAAATAAATTACGGGCGATCTGAGGTCGGGAAGGGGTGAGTTTTTAAGGGTAAAAATGGTTAATCTCGATTTCCGGTAAAACTGCAAGACCTTTGAAAAAAAATTAAATGGCAAAGTTGTAGGTAATAAAAAGATCTACAACTTTTGTAGCGACACTTTTTTCAAATAACCTCAAAATTTATGTGAAAAATGCGAATAACCGAGTTTTTGGTTTTTGATTTTTATTTTTGCAAAAAAAAATATTTTTTCACGAAATTTGGGGAAAACTTACCTTTGTATGTCCTAAACATACAGTAATTTTTTTGATTTAAATCATTTATTTTTTCACCTTATTTTGACTTAATATCGAAAAAGCACCCTTATTTTCAATCGAAAATTCTCACGTCAAAATATCTGCTTTTTTAAAAAAGTTGGGGTGTTTTTTGTTTGTTGAAATCTCTACTTTCTGATGGTATAAATAATATATACACTACTATGGTAAATGTTCTCAGAAACTGCAAATTAATAATGAAAAAAACTCCAATCCGAAAAATTGATTTGAATCATTATGTATAATTTTGAACTATTTATTAAAATTTTCACTTTAATTACTCGAAAAACGTAAGATTTCATGTTATATTGATAAACAGAAAAATTACAAATCCATAAAACATGCAAAAATAGTTGTTGTAAGTAGGTATTAAAAATAGGATTTTCGGATTCGAGTTTTTTTCATTATTAATTTGCATTTTCTGAGAACATTTATCATAATAGTGTATATTTTTTTTTATACCATCAGAAAGTAGAGATTTCAACAAACAAAAAACACCCTAACTTTTTTAAAAATGCAGATATTTTGACGTGAGAATTTTCGATTGAAAATTAGGGTGCTTTTTGGATATTAAGTCAAAATAAGGTGAAAAAATGAATATTTTAAATCAAAAAAATTACTGTATGTTTGGGACATACAAAGGTAAGTTTTCACCAAATTTCGTGAAAAAATATTTTATTTTGCAAAACATAAAAATCAAAAACCAAAAACTCGGTTATTCGCATTTTTCACATAACTTTTGAGGTTATGTGAAAAAAGTGTCGATACAAAAGTTGTAGATCTTTTTATTACCTACAACTTTGCGATTTAACTTTTTTTCATAGGACTTGCAGTTTTACCGGATATCGAGATTAACCATTTTTTACCCTAAAAAACTCACCCCCTCCCCCTTCCCGACCTCAGATCGCCCGTAATTTATTTTTCATCCCACCACCTCGGAAAGTGTAATTTTGCGCTTCGAAATCTGGCTGGAAAATTCTATTTTATTCGCTTGAGCGGCAAAGTAGATTTGAATTTAGAACATCACATATAATGAGTACTCAATATAATTGTAAATTCAAAACGTCATTAAACCTATTTAATGTAACCTCTATGGTGCCAAATTTATGATTAGAACTTTTTAAATTGTGAAAAAATTTAAATTTGGAACCTTCTTGGTTTCTTTGTTTTATTTGCGTGCTTCGCGCCATTCTAGTTTTTCACGTTTTATTGCTTAATATAATTAACATAACCTAAAAACTGTACAAAAAAATCAACTAAAATGAGTGACATTAGCGACGATGAAGTTTATCTAACGCCAACTGAGTTAACTGAAACAGTTAATAATGCGCAAATGAGCCTTCTCCCTCAGCAATCACGAGAGAAGTATTTGAAACAGTACGATATATTTAACATGTGGCGACTAGCTAAAGGAGCAAAAACTTTCTCCGAAAACGTTTTGCTGGCATATTTTATAGAATTATCTGAGACCAAGAAAGCAAGCACGCTATGGAGTACGTATTCAATGCTAAAATTAACAATTAAGATGAAGAAAGACGTTCATATCGACACCTATCATAAATTAGTGGCATTTTTAAAAAGAGCCTCATCTGGTTATAAACCAAAAAAATCGAAGGTTTTCACAGCATCTGAAATTGCAAAGTTTATTAATGAAGCACCTGATTCCGTATATTTAGCGGCAAAAGTAAGTCAATACGTGTAATTTTTTGTTGTTGATAAAATTGTACATAGTACTTACAATATTTTTAATTTGATTAATTTATTTACGATTATAAATACTTCTTTTGTTACAGGTTGTTCTTATTATTGGTATAACCGGAGCATGTCGAACAAATGAACTTACACTACTTAATGTCAATAACGTATCAAAATATTCTCATAATTCTGATGAATTGCTATTAATTAATGTACTAAATACCAAGACAAAAAAAGACCGCAACTTCGTTATTCGCAAGGAATATGTAAACATTGTTCAGAAATATCAAGCTTTACGTCCTTCTAACCAGGGCCGTGCCTGACGGGCGTTCATTGCGTGCACCGCACGCAGGCGGCCGAAATTAAGAGGCGGCCAAATCGTTACAAGTTGTTTACTGGGCAAAATGTTCTATGTAATATTGGATACAGCCATTTCATCTGTTACTACCCGATTTGAAACATTATCCAATTTCGAACAGTCTTTCGGATTTTTATATAAATTTGTTGAAATAGGAGAGGACGACATAAAAAAAAGTTGCTTCGACTTTCATAATAAATTCAAGGATGGCGAATCGTGCGACATAAACGGAGCAGAATTATACGAAGAGTTAATTTCATTGAAAATAATTATAAAAGATAGGAAACAACCCGAAGAACTCCTAAAGTATTTGTACAAACACAATTTACAAAATTCATTTCCAAATGTATCTACAAGCTTAAAACTATTATTGACCATGCCTGTATCAGTTGCGCCTGGAGAACGTAGTTTTTCTAAATTGAAAATCATAAAAAATTACCTACGTACTTCCATGACGCAAGAACGTATGAGCAATCTTTCAATTATCGCGATTGAAAGTGAAATTGCTGAATCTTTAAATATTCACGAAGCAATTGACGATTTTGTCAGTAAAAAATCCCGTAGGATTAACTTTTAATATGTACTTTATTTAATAATTTCTTCGTGAAGATTCAGCAATTTCACTTTCAATCGCGATAATTGAAAGATTGAAAGATTTCCCTAATTAACCGGTAACCTAACCGAAATAATTTTATGAAACCGGTTAATTAACCAAAAACCTTTACTATTTTCAATATCAATAAATAATACGTAAGATTTGATTTTTTAAAATCAAATAATTTTAAATTGTCACTGAGCGACACCTAGGATTTTAAATTATCGTATTCCTATGTTCTTTATGTTTGATAATTTTGTCTGTGATTATAATACCAATACCATAATTACTTTTTTTCATGTTATTATTAAAGTAAGTAAATTAATTCTATTTTATATACCTCCCAAGTTGCAAGTCAGCCCAGATCTGCCATTGGCCACTGAGCTTTGTTATCCTAATATGTTAGTATAGATTTAAGGGTTATTCCTTGTTCTTTATGTTTGATAATTTTGTCTGTGATTATAAAACCAATACCATAATTTTTTTCATGTTATTATTTTTGTTTAAATTTTAAATAAAAAAATGTTTATTTTGTGCATTTTTTTTTCTTAAATTTCATCCAAACATATAAATCTCATAAAACCGGTTTTTAGCCGGTTTTTCTTTTCAGAAACCGGTTTTGGGAACAAAACCAATATTTTTTTTCGTTCTCGATTTCGGTTAACCAAAAACTGATTTTTTTCCCGGTTTGATGCCCTGTGTATAATAATAAACATTAAAAATTAAAGTAGTTTTTTTTAATGTTATCCTGGGGGCGGCCATACAGACTGGCACGCAGGCGGCCATATACCCAGGCACGGCCCTGCTTCTAACACCCCAATTGAACGATTTTTTCTACAATATCGCAACGGAAAGTGTATCCGACAACCTATGGGTCAGAATAAAATTGGCAGTATTCCACGAGAAATAGCAACTTTTCTCGGACTTTTAGAACCCCCGTTATACACCGGTCACTGTTTTAGAAGAACCTCAGCCACACTTTTGGCCGAATCAGGGGCTGATCTTCTATCGCTTAAGCGCCATGGAGGCTGGAAGTCTAATTCGGTTGTAGAGGGATACATAGAGGATTCAATCCAAAGTAAATCAAAAATTTGTAATAGTATCGTGGAGGCCATAACGCTGAAAGAACCTCTGTCAGATTCTTGGTCTCGCCCTTCTACATCTAAAATGAGCCCCCATAAGATTGGAAACAATAGCCCTCTCTCGCCAACATTTACGCCAATAGAATCCAATGAATCGGCACAACTATTTAAAATTACTGATACGAGTAGTTTACCACAAAACAGCGCACAATTCACAAACACCAACATAACATTACCTAACAAAAATATTAAACTTAACATAAGTAACTGTAGCAACGTTACATTTAATATTTCTTAATTATTTTCTACTTCTTATTATTTTCTTCAATTTATAGATTATCTTAATGTGTTTTAATTGAAATAAAAATATTTTGTCATTATAAATTGTTTTCTTTTTCATTTTGTCATTTCCTCGCTGAGGTGGGATGAAAAGTTACGTATTGCACTCGAGTGGAAAGATTTTTCACCTTGTGCTCGTTTGTTTCCCTCGCTGACGCTCAGGATTCTAATTGAGAATCACTCGCTGCGCTCGTGATTCAACTTTAGAATCCTTCGCTTGCTCGGTCATCCAAATCGAGCACGCGGTTAAAAAGGAACTTTCCACTCTTGTATAATAAATAACTATTTCCTTTCATTTTTGTTATATTCTCTACCTTTTCTAATGGGTTTCATCCTACTATATTTTTTTTTCACTTTTCACCATTTTTAAAATTATCGACCCTGGTCTATAAGCACAAATCGCTGAAGAAAATACTACAAAAAAATGGTCTTTTTGCATTCTTACTGAGGCGACTCGCGTTTTCGCAAAAATCCTGTCTTTTTACAGTAAGATTGAGAAATATCTCTATTGTCTAATAGGCGTTTTCACAAAATCCCTAGGATTTTCGCAAAAATCCATTTAAGAAATTATCCTACGACATATTTATATGAATATTTAAAAAAAAATCTAAATTAAATAAAAAGGTATTTAAACCTGTATGTCAGTCTTGGGATGACCAGTAGCATTATCCACAGCGGGCATGCAGAAATCGTGTGGTTTCGTCTGAGCATCGTATGACTGGAAGGCGCCTAAACTTTGATTGATAGCCGATGAGTTGACGACATCAATTTTCACAGACTCTTCATCTTTTTCAGCCCAAATCGTGAACCCTACAAAAGGTGTGGGCCCTTGGCCGCTGTCAACGCCTTGTAAAGACACTGAAAGAAAATAGTTCTATATGTATTATAGATTTTATAAATATCTAAAGAAAGACTTACTAAAAAAAATTAAGTGGGTCTAGGTGTCAGGCCGGACACTATCCTTGATCCCCTTTTTTGGGAACAAGTGAAAAACATAGAATACGCCAGCTCTTTACCTTGCCATGATAAATAAAATTTTTCAACGAACTATTCGGAAACTGTTGTAGGCGACAGGCAGGCAACTCATCATTAATCTCTGCAAGCTACATCTTTGACCCAACGCAAAACGAAATGATGGCGTCGTGCTGTTTATAATTTTTTAATAATTCCCAAGCTGTAGTACGTTTGATGGTTTGTTAACTTCGCTGATCATAGATATTCAATCCATAAATAATGTATATCTAACAGAAGTACACTTAAAAAAGTTACCAGTATAAAGTTCTCCAGGTAAATAGAGATCAGGTTCGCCGGCTATTCCAAGGCGGTAAAATGCATCGGCTGGCTGCGCGTGCGCTGGTGCCCGTTCGCATGTGGGCGATTGTGCCGTAGTCGCTGTGGCCGATACTAGCCGAGCAGAAGTAACACACAGTATTACGATTGACAACATATCGCCTATAACTTTTGAAAGTACCTATATAAAACTGAAGGCGACCACTCATAAGAAATATCACTTGAACTTATTGCACCATTTTCTTTTTAATTTTTTTTAATCCCCGTTTTGCGACAGGTCCTTATACTCTTTTTTTGTTTTCCATTCTTTTGTTTTCTTTTTTTTGTGCTTGTTTTTTTTCTTACTGCACCATTGAATAGTAGCTACTAGGGTAACTCTTCTTTGTTTACGAACCTTTAAACAGTGGCGGCGCTAGACCACATGTGGATGTCGGCGACATCAAGTTTGCGAGGCCTATTTTACTTCGCAGTAATAAACCGTTAAATTCAGTAAGCATAATTATAAAATAACGTATGAGTAAACGAGTTTATGTTGATTCATAGTGTTGCCAGACAGACTATTCTGAATCCCGTAAAGTACTACTCTCTTCCATCACGCACGTGTTCGAAATTAATAAAAGTCATTATCATCTGCTTAGCTTTTTCCCCGAATTGTTCGGAGTCGACTACCTAAGCCAGGCCCGAAGAAACGAAAATAAATAGGTAACTTGTAAAATGCCCCTCGGCGTCGTCGTCGGTGGCCGACGTCGCCGACGCCTAGCGCCGCCACTGCCTTTAAAAAAGCTCAATAAGAATTCAATACGTTTTTGTTGTCATTAAGTATATTATGTATTATAATACCAAGATTAGATACACAATAAATATGCACTTAAAAGAGCTTCGAAAATTCAACAAACAACAAGACAACAACAAACTACGACATCATAAACAATTTTATGCTGCAAGTACCTACGATTTTTTTAAATTAATGTTAAATATAAACTTTTTTGTCCAATTCAAATGAATCAGAAAGTTTATTAAGATTTTACTTTAACATTACATACAATTAAATTTATTTTAGCACTTCTTGCTGTATGTATTTCGTGCTGAAATCATTGGTTGCATGTTTTAATTCACCGACAGATTACCTATTCAATTGAGCAGTTTTATGAAAATTATTTTTTAGCATTTTCTACTTCTCATAAATATCAGTTTAGAAGATCGAATTCATTACAATATTATATTTATTAAAGAAACTGAATCTAGAAACTGATACAGTACAAAGAAAACTCTGAAACCTTATTATTTCTATCGAGATAATAATGCTAACATCATTTCAATTCAATCATGACATTATAGACTATTAGTGTGACCGAAAAGACGATGGTTATTTTACAAGAAGCATGAAAAATACTAGCCAGTTTGTCACGTTTTGCTCATCTTTACTAATAAATAATATTATACTTTGACGACCGAAACGAGCGTAGACGGTCGCTCCCCTAACGCACCCGACGCAGACTGGATGGATTGAATTATTCCTGTGTATGCGAACAGGAAAATGGGACGGGAGGTGGCGGGCGGATAACTACAACCCCCGAACCCTATTCACTAGTCTATAAGCTCTCTCATTATATTAACAATAAATTGTAATAATAAGTTGTTCTATGTCGTAGTCGTTGCGGATAAAGGACGGCTCATTAAATACTTTTTAAGATTAAAATTGTTACGGTGCTCTTTTACTTTTAAAATACGCATTGAAGGAATATTATTTTTCTATGGTCGTACTATTTTAGGTACAGTCAGCTTCAATAAAATATACGGTGACATGGTAGTCAAATATATATTCAGAGCAAAGGTTCAGTTATATCTTTGCATTTAAAGTTATCTAAATAGTGTACTCAACCAATCAGTCCTATATTTGTTCTGATAAAAAGTCCCCCAATACATATACAACATAAAAATGATCTTTATTAATATGTACGCGTCATATCTGTTCATTGGTATCTAAGCGTCTAGAGTACTCATAAATATCTTCGCTCGCATAGATTATTCAATTTAAATAAAATTAAAGGTATATATCACACATATCAACTCGGAAAGGGATCGTCACCGTATCAACTCGAGCCGTTCAGTAATCTTTGTATGAAACACCTCAGTTTAGCGGTTACCTTTATTTACTGCCAAGATGTTTTTGATAACTTTGAGTGCTCAGCTACCATTGAACATCATCATCATCATCAGCCTATTAATGTCCCCACTGCTGGGGCACAGGCCTTCCCTATGGATGGTGTAGGGAGATTGGGCCATGACCCACCACGCGGGTCCACTTCGGATTGGCGGGTGCTAACGCCTGCAGATGCAGCCGGGACCAACGGCTTAATCCAATGACCGACCACTGCGAAAGTTGCTTAACTTCAACGATCGCAGTCGAGGGCGCTAACCACTTGCGCCATCGAGCTCCTCAAGGAACAGTTATTCGCGAATATATAATTGATTATCATAAGACATTACATATATTTTATGAGTTATGTTGTTTCGATAATTATTGACGATTCTGGTCGGTTACAACCATAAGATTATCTAACAGCACATATAAAATTGAATTTTCATATCTTTGATAATTTGATCAGTCTTCACATTTCGATTTTTATGAAACTAAGCAATACAAGTATTGATTTAATTTGTCATGGGTACGTATGGTACCTATGACAAATTAAAGTTCATACTACGATTAAAAACACCGTAGACCATTTTAGCGGTTTGCCTCTATCCAGGCAATCAGCTATGTTGCATAACTTGTAAGCCACTGTATTAAAATATAGTTGATTGTAGTTAAAAATATTATGAAAGCTTATTACGTACATTTGGTGCAACGGCAGCAAAACTGTCTTTTGCTATAAATGTTTTGGGGGTACGAATACCGGTACACCGGCAGGAGCATTTATTTGTGCTAAGACCACAAATACACACGAATTAATACACAGTCAGGTCATAAGTATTGTCACACAATAAAAACTTTTCTTTTAGAATGCTGGCCATAAAAAAGTTTATTGAATTCGAATCTCCAATTGTTCATGAAAATTAAATTGTATACTTTTTAGAATTTTACTCATTTTTAAATATGGAGTGGATGCTTAAACAAGTCCGTGTTGCAGTTATTGCGTTGCATCGTTGCGGTTACGCGCCAATTCAAATTTTTGACATACTGAAAATTTTGAATATAACCAAAAGATTCGTTTATCGTACCATCAAACGATACAATGAAGACTCTAGTGTAGATGACAGGTCAAGAAGTGATAGCCCTCGGTCTGTTAGGACTCCAGCAGTGATAAAAGCTGTGAAGGCGCGAATTCAAAGAAATCCCAAACATAAGCAGAAACTATTGGCCCTTCAGATGGGGTTAAGCAGAACCACGATGAAAAGGGTGTTAAATGCAGACTTAGGGCTTCGGGCATATCGAAGAAAAACAGGACATCGTTTGAATGCTCGTCTAATGGACCTAAAACTGAAGAGATGCCGCGCTTTGTTGAATCGGTACGCGGGAAAAAATATCGGGAAATTCTTATTTCGTATGAAAAAATTTTTACCGTAGAAGAGAGCTAAAACAAACAAAATGATAAGGTGTACGCACACAGTAGTGAAGAAGCGAGCAACCGAATTCCGCGTGTCCAACGAGGTCATTTTCCATCCTCGCTCATGGTAAAGTTTAGAGTTTCTTATGTACATTTTTGTGAGAATGGTGTAAAAACGAATGCAGTTGTGTATCAAAATACAGTCCTGACGAACCTTGTGGAACCTGTTTCTCATACCATGTTCAATAACAGGCACTGGGTATTCCAACAAGATTCGGCGCCAGGTCATAGAGCGAAGAGCACACAAGACTGGCTGGCGGCGCGTGAAATCGACTTCATCCGGCACGAAGATTGGCCCTCCTCCAGTCCAGATTTGAGTGCGCTAGATTACAAGATAGATATGGCAACACTTGAGGAAAAGGCGTGCTCAAAGCCTCATCCCAATTTGGAGTCACTCAAGACATCCTTAATTAAAGCAGCCGCCGATATTGACATGGACTCGTTCGTGCTGCGATTGCCGACTCGCCGCGCAGATTGAAGGCCTGTATTCAAAATCACGGACGTCATTTTGAATAAACTTTATGGTCATAAGAATCTATGTTTTGTTAAGTTCATTTTGGTATATAAATAATTACATAATGAATAAACTTGTTTCAATTATTTTATATTAAACATGTGACAGAATTTATGACCTGACTAGGTATTTGTTCCAGTCATGATTGTATATTAACTTACCTACGTGACTTGGTTCCCTTTGTACAATCTTCACTTGGCGTGGGACTAAATACTTATTGACGAGCTCACCGGAACTTATTTTGGGTGAGTAATATAATTATAATGTAATAGGGATGATGACTATCTTTTTTTCTTCGTTTATCGGGTAGATTATCAAAAAGTATTGGACACGTATTTTTTATTTTTTCACATAATATAAACATTGCAGAGATATATTCATTTGAAAAGTCGCATGACGTCACGTTTTGGTACAATTTTCACTTAAAAGTGACGTCACGAGCCCCTACTCCCAAATTTTGACGCGCTATAACTTTGTCATTTTTTGGTTGATTGCCCAAAGAAAAAACACGTGCCCATTATTTTTTGATCATCTAACTGACGGACTACATAGAATTTCGTTTACGGTACCCCGCCCGTCATCACCCCTATTATAGAATATATAAAATATTTTTTCGGAACAGGAATAAGGATAAAAGAGTGATTAAAACAACGGATACGATTATTTTAGTCTTTATTTTACTATTAATGTCTAGAAAAATGTTAAATTCTGTAGCCTGTTTTTTCAATTGGTACTTAGTCCAATAAAATTCCCTGTGACCTTTACTATGACACGTAAAGGTAAAATGACCGTTTTTATTGAATTATTAGACAATATCAAATAAAGGAGAATGCTCATGGATGTATGGACCGCCGTACAATGGTTGCATCAATACCAAACAAATGTTAAATGATCGTTTAATATTCAAATTAGTATGACAAATTGGAATTTTGAAAATAAAAACAGGGGTTTTAATGTTATTGTAAAAAATGTGACATAACCTCAAATCCTTAATAACTCCTATTTAAAGTTGGTTTACAGCTATTTTGGGTACTTTTTTATTCTGTTATTTTTGATCAACTTGAGTCTTTCACTGTTTTTCCAACCTACTGCATAGATTTTCATGACAACACAGATTTCAGTGAAGGCAGATTTACGTATAGGTAAATAAAAACATTAATATAGGACACTTTTTATTAGATTACATATATTAATTGTACACATTATATTTGAATTACCAGTATATTTCAAATCAACATAATCTTCATAGAAAAAATAATCTAAATAAGGCGCCAGAGCAGTAACATCATTG